TAGAAATGGGGCTGCCCAGCAGGAGTGAGTGGCAGACAACAGAGCAAAGCTCCGTCAGCTGCTCCCATTGCCAGCGTCATGGCCTGAGCCCCGCCTCCCATCACATCAGCAGCATGTCAGGTTCTCATAGAAGCGCAAACTCTATCGTAAACTGTGCACACTAGGGATCCAGGTTGCAAGTTCTGAATCTTATGCCTGATGGTCTGAGGGGGTGACGTAACGACTTTGAATCATCCTGTCTTCCATGGTCCCTCATGCCCCCGGGACTACTGCTTTAGCCAAAGGACAACTCACCGAACTTAAAGAGTTTACCTTAGCGCACTGGGTTTCTGGAACTTCTGTAGTATTTTATAAGCCCCTGAAAATGAAGCAACATGTGTCACTGGTGTATGGCGTTCTGCCATACAGGAGTTGGCACAAAATCTGCCTGGAAAAGGACCACAGAGGTGCCTCTGCCGGGCTCCTTTTTCCTATGAGGGTCCCACATGGCTGACGAAAGGAGACCAGCGAGATCCGGAGGATTTCAAGGATGCAAATTCTATCGTTCTTTGTGACAATGTGGTGCAGTCTTTCTCGGGGGCCCACAGGGAGTGCTGGCCGAGGAAAGCACCGTGATCAACGACTGTGTGAACAGGGAAGAGTTACGTCTGTTGTGTGATGCGCTCAAGGAAGAGAAGCATCAGCAGACTGCTGGACACCTCTGAATGGTGTTAACAAGGCCAGGGCACTGCTTCCTGCCCTAAGACTACAAAATTCAAAACATGTAACACATGATTTGAAATAAAATCAGATAGCTCTATGTTGCTAACTTTAACTTTTTTGGTATACTACTGAAAAGAAAACATTTTTGACATGAATGCTTTTATTTTTATTTATTAATTATTTTTTGAGACAGAGTCTCACTCTGTCACCCCAGGGTAGAGTGCCTTAATGTCACAGCTCACAGCAACCTTAGACTCCGGGCTTAAGTCATCTTCCTTCCTGCCTCAGCTTCCTGAGTAGCTGGAACTACAGGCCCTCACCATAATGCCTGGCTGTTTTTTCTCTTTTCTTTGAGTAGAGACAGGGTCTCACTCTTGCTCAGGCTGGTCTTGAACTCTTGAGCTCAGGTGACCCACCTGACGCACTCGGCCCCTCTCACAGCTTTTAGAGAACACCAACCAGCATTCCACAAGTGGACTTCAGCAAGCAACCCCCTTCCCCACCCACATGGAGTTAGCTATTGTTTGTCATGAAAAAAAAAAA